TCCTATCATGGCCAGCTCAAGACCAAGCCATCCCAAAAGCAGAGCTTGAAAATGTGCTTAAAAAGCAAAAATACATATGGACTCTGTGTGGTGTTTCTGTCCATAGCAACAGAGGAATACAAAACCATGAGTTTGGCCATAGCGACAGGATTGCAACAAGTGACATTCAGAACTCCCACTGAAAAAGAGGATGATGAACCTCACGGCCACAGGGGAAAGGGAGAAGAGAAGAAGGAGAGGCTACAGCCAGGAGAGGGGATAAAAGAGAAGGAAGGAAAAGAAAAGGGTGTGCTTGGAGGACAGAGATCAAAGGAAGGAGGCCCAGGAACACACGAAGAGGCCAGGGAAGATAAAGGAAAGGAAACCTCTAGAGGAGGAGAAATGATACTTGCAGGGGAAACAGCAGGTCCTCAGAGCAGCTCCCTGAGGTCTGGGAGTGGGTAGTGAAGAGAACGCCTTTCACCAGGCAAGTTTATGTTCCCAGCTGAAGAGGATGCCCTTTATGCACCAGACCCATAGAAAAGCATCCTTTTTTAGGGAGCAAGAGAGAAGAGAGAGATGGTGGAGAGAGAAGGTTGCCAGAAAGGACCTCCTGTGTGGCGAAATGGACACTTGTCCAGATGGACATTAGGCAACTGGAATTCATCTACTGTCCAGGATCTCCCCAAGAAACCTGATGGGGAGTGGGCTTGCCATCTGTGTTGCAGGAGCCAATGTTGTGGGCCTGAAGGGAGGTATCTCAAGTGAACGGCAGAGATGAGTCTCAGGACAATTCTAACATGCTGACCCTCCTTCTCTGGAGGGAAGAGAAGAAACTGGCTGTTAGGAAGTTTCAGAGGGAAGGGGAAATTGGATATTAGAAGTTGTTATTGATAAGATACCCGTCGTGACCAATAAAGGTGTTAAGCTGAAGCAAGAAGAATCCCCTGTCATCATTCTAGAACTAGGCCCTGCAAGGGCAGTTAAAGATAAAGCCAGTCACAACCCACCAGTCTCAGAATTAGAGATGGCCACAAACTGCTGGTTTGGTGGTTTGGTGCAGTTCGCTTCAGAACCCACCAGGTAGCAAAGTCACAATGGCTAGGGAAGCTGGTGGGTTGTAGGCTCAAAACAGGACTTTTTCAAACTCAGCCTCCAAATTGTCACTCACAAGCAACAACATAAGGTTGCTGCGTCGATCCTTTCCTTGCTCAGCTGTTATGGGAGTGGCAGCTCAGCTAAAGCTCAGGAGAAAGATCTGAAGGGACGTTGTGAGCCGATAATGTTAACATCCTCCCTAAGCGCTTCAACACTCTGAGTCCTGGGTCTATGATTCCACCACAGGGCCTTTCAGAGATTGAGGGAGGCCCAGGTCACTTCCATTTCTTGAGGCTCTCAAGAAATGATTGGGGAAAAAAATGAAGAAATGACAACAACAAACAAGGGTTAGAAAATTTGGATGTTATTTCAAACCTGAGGCCTTCTACGAATGTGCAGCCCAGACTCTCCAGTTCCACAGGTCTCCTGGACCTCTTCTACTCCCTACCTCCCTGCCTTTCATATGACAGGGTATGAAGACGGTGTGTGGGATTTTGATGAGAAACCTTCATTAAATTGCTTGATCTATCCCTTTGGCATTCTGCCTTTGTCTTTACCTGTTTCCTTTACATTCTTGCCAAGATAGCTTATAAGGCATGAAATCAAAACTGTCAGAACTTCTCCCTGAACCCTAAAACTTATCCCCAGTCCTCAGTCAACTTCTTCCCAGGGTCTATGGTGAGAATGGTACTGATTTTTTGGGCAAAATAACAGGCTATCATTTACTCTGCTAAGTATGCATGCCTCTCTGCAGATTAATGGCTGTTAATTTACCAGCAAGACAGCCCGACATTGTATAGAAATCATTGTGATGAACAATCTGTGCTCCAAAGAACATGACATATTTTGGAGTGTGTGTGTGTGTGTATTTGTTTTAAATTGATTCTCCCACCACTGCAAATCTCAAATGATATGTAAGGAACTTACACTGTGGCACTATTAAGCCATTAAAAAAATAAATTTAAATTTTAGAGGGGTAGGTTAGAAATGTGATTCCACTCACTCCCTGGTGGTCAGAAGCCATTCATTCCGTGGGTTGCCACTAGAGGTCACGCACCACACACAGGTGTTTAGAATCTCTTCCTGGACTGTGAAACATCCCCTCCGCTGTACAGGTGTTCAGACAGAAATCTGTATTGACTGCTGATCCAGAGATTGGGTGGTCCTCTGTGATCCAGTTCCTGTAGGACTGGATCTGGAGACTAGGGGCCTCTGATATTTCATTTTTAACTGTTTGACACATTATGGGTATTTTCTGTCTGCCAGGGGAAGTTATTCTGTTCCTTCCTCCAGAAAGTACAAATCAGGCATGGCATTTAGCAGAGAAATACAAAATTTCATTCATGTTAAAAAATTCCAACTCACCCCTCTCTTCAACAAGAGCTCAGGGTGCCTAGGTAGGTGAGGATTATCAAGAGAAAGTTGCAAGATAGGATTACAATGCTTGGTAGACCTAGGAATTACCCATGAAAAAGGATTGGCAAACCTCCCTCATTATATATATATTTGCTGTTCTTCCTGTAAATTTCAGTTTAAGTTGGAAAGTTTTTAAAATAATTAATTAGTTCAGGAAGCAGAGCATGTTTGTAGGGTGACCAGAGGCCGGGCTTGTCGTACCTTTAAGAGTTGTGTGGAGGAGAAAAATTGGCTTGTGTTACAACCTGAAAGTTCTACTTCTGAGCAGCTATTTAAAATACAGAAATCCTGGCCCCTTCTTGTGGCTGTTTTTCTACAGACATACGATTTGGGGCTGGTTCCTGTTTCTATCCATTAATATTTGCTGGTTACCATTTATAGCTCACCTTCTGTTTTGGAAGGAGCTCAACCTGGCCTTGATGATTTGCCTTCCCCTCTCACAACAACGTGTGAGTTAGGTTAGGCTGAGAGGGTTACCGGCCAAACCTGGGTTCTAAGATTCTCTGGCATGGAATCGGGCATAGACGCAACAGCTGAACCAAAGGCCCAATTTTATCTGAATGGCAGCAAAGAAAAGGTCAGCTGGGACTTCTCTTAAAAGCAGAGAAGATCCTGAAAATACAGTGTACATATGTTTTATAATGATACAAAGAATCATAAATGCTACAATTCTATTGGCCATTTGTACCCCAAGTTTGACTCTAGTCCCTCATCAGGTAGTGATGCCAACTACGCTGATCTATTGGTTCCCATCCATATTGTGTGCCCCTGTGTCCTTGGCCTATGCCCAAGATGCGCCTGAATGTCTGGGGAACCTTATATTTTGGTATGTTTATGTGTAGCCTTCCTGGCCCTGATATATGGCCTTCACTCTCCAGCTCCCTGGTGTGAATCTTTTGGCCTGTCATGCCTGGTTTCCTCCTGCCGGCATTCCAGGATCAGGCCATCCGCCAGGTCAAAAGGAGGATGGACCGAAGGAAAGTGTTGCAGTGACATTCTATACGATGTGTGAATGTTCCTCTATTTGCCTGAGCTATGTGTGAATGTTCCTGGGGCCTAGTTTCTCTGAGGCCTGTGTTTTCTCTTCTAAGGGTTATACTAAAATCTAGTTTGATTCTGCTCTGGTATCAAGAGAAAGAGAGAATGGCTCAAGGTCAGCTAGTGAGTTTCACAGTTGAGTACAAAAATGGATGTACTTCACTGCTTTTTAACCCACCACCCACCACCCACCCCATTCCTGGCATGCTGAAATGGGTGTATGCACCATGATCTCAGAGACCTGGAAAAACCAACATTAGACATTGCATATGTTCAGCAGGCCTTTGTGGTGACCCCCCCCCTTCTGCTGCTTATTATACAGGAGCAATTTCAGCATCTGAAGATGTTTTGCTATCCTGCCATCACAAGTTCTACCTGACCCTGATGAGACATAGTCTTCGATATCACAATTAAAGATGTGGGACTATTTGTGTGTGTAGCCCCAACCACCAATTGACACCAGATGTGGTCATCAGGCAGAAACAGACCACTTCCCTTCTTGCTGCTTTTTCCCTCTAACCTTTCTCTTTGCTTGGAAAAAAAGAGCGACAATGAAAAAAGAAATCTAAAGTCTTTCGAGCCTTTGTTTTTTCTTTGCTTAGCACAACAAGTTTATTAGAAACAGAGGATTCCCAAACAGGATGGAAGACAAAATGCAAGCAGAAACCTATTAAGTAGAAGAGCTTAGGGGTATGATAAGGGACAGTGAGCTGGAAGGAAAACGGGGACACTTTAGCATGCAATCCTATGCATGGTTACTCCAAACTAAAACCTACAGTAAGCATGCAAAAGATTAATTTATTGCATGAAAATATGTTAGGAGGGACGCATGTCAACCATTCTTGCATACTTGTGCGAATCCAAGTATTTCAAAAAGAAACATAGAGGTTCTGGATCCCAGTGTCATTTTGAGCTACTTGGATGTATGGGATTTATGAATGACTCTCCCGCCCTGAAGGGAGTGGCTCTGACTCTATTTTTAGTTTGTATCTTGGCTGATAAGAATGTAAAGATCCAGCTCTGAGACCAGGCGGCCATGGTGACAAGTGCCTTCTAACAGAAACCGGGTGCGGTGGGTGGGCGTTACAGGGAGTGGAAATTAGACGTTACTTCCCATTTCCCCAGGGTAGTTTGAGGAAATGCAGCTAAGCCAATTTATTACAGCAACCAGTCAACAGGCAAAATGGGGATTTTATATACATTGCAGACATTTGTTAAGGGAAGGGCATCAATTCCAAATGGCTGAACGAGTCTCTGATGGGCATTAGGAGACCTGCCCAGCCTTGCTGAAGATTACTTTTTTGGACATCTACTCCTAGAACCACACACCCAGTTCTCATGCTGGTTGTGGGGTTCTGAGAGTCCCCTCAAAATTAACTTTCCCCATCTCTGGTTGGTTGGTTGGTATTTTGTAGATTTGCTCTTTTGAGAGAATGCGATTAGTAGGCAACAAAGGTTGCATTGCCGTCATTGGTTATTCCATGGTGTCAGGCGGGTCTGTGTTAATATTCCTAGTATCTCGGTCCACAGTCACCAGTGGGTGCCACAAATCGGATGTTAGATCTTCTTCCACTCCCACAGCTGAAGCCTTGTGGAGGGAGGCACAGATCCCCACATGGGGGACAAGGGCTGACACATGGCATTGTCGCTATCCTCCCACTGGGTCCACATGCTCCTCGGGGTCCACACACAGGATGTGAGTCAGTGTCACACACCACAGCACCCTGGCTCCTCTGAACAGCTGGAGCAGAAGAAGAGGGCAGAGAGGAAGACACACTATTGGTCATGGTTCATCACTAGAGATGGGGACGAATATAAAAACGGATCGGCTTTTTCAATGAAAATATTTAATGGACCGGCTTTTTCAATGAAGAGAGCCGATTCATTAAATATTCATCCCTTCGTATTTGTCGGGTTCCAGAGACCCCCCAAAATACAAAGAGATGAATATTTACCTGTTTTTATTCATCCTTTGTATTAAAACAACAACAACAACAAAACCCCATTCTGCCTACCAGCCGCCGATCACCTGATCGGTGGGGGATAGGCAGCCACTACCCCCAACGCCCTCCCCCACCCCCACTGACACCCCCTTCCTATTAAACAACAACAACAACAAACATCATTCTGCTTACCATCAGAATAGGCAGATAAGCAGCCACCCCCCTCCCACAGCCAACCACCCCAACAGCCTACCCCCTTCCTTTCCCTACCTTAACCCCCACCCTACCCCCTTAAGGGAATCCAGGCTGCCCTTTGCAAAGATGGCAGCTGCAGCATCCCTACCCTAAATGACTGGCTGCCATCTTTCCAAAGGGCAGCTAGTCTCCCTTTTAACATGCATGGCTGGGAGGCCAGAAGTAGACATCATCATCAGCGATTAAGGTAAAGGGGTGTTGGTGGGGTGGGTGGAGGCTAAAATACGGAAAGGAAGGGGTGTGTGTAGGCTGTGGTGGTGGCTGGTGGCAGCGGTGGCGTGGCTGCCTATCGGCCTCCAATCAGTTGATTGGCGGCCAGTAGGCAGAATGGGCTTCTGTGCCGTGTGGTAAACTTTCCTGGGGGGGACCCAATTGTGGGTGAATAACTTGGATGTCCAATATCCAGTCTTCACCAAAGTTGTCAGGCATGTTGGGGAAAGACATAGGAAGCGCTGTTGTGATTCTGGAATCTCTAGGTACCTGGGGGGAGCTTTCCTGGGGGTGTCCTCTTTGTGATTATATAACTATATAACTTGGGGGTCCGTGATCCAATGTTTACCAAACTTTCAGGTGTTGTAGAAGAGCATCTGAGGAAGCATCCCTGCAAATTTGGTGTCTCTAGGTGCTTAGGGACCAGTTTTATAGCCATTTAAAGTGAAGATGAATCAACAAATCAGTTCATCAAAGAACATTTGTATATTTTTATTCATTGAGTAATTAATCATGATGAATCAAGAATCAAAATGAATCACCAGTTTTTTTTTATTTGTCCCCATCTCTAGTCAGCACTGATTTCTCAGTTAGAACTTGGAGGGTCTAGCCATATGGGCTTTATGATTACTGCATGGGAGTGCAGCAATAGATGTTAAGCAGCAGAGCAAATAGGCATTCTGCCAAACAATTTTAAAAATGAGGGCACCCCAAATAAAAAATGCATAGCTTTGAAACTGGACTTCAGATCAGCTCCAAATCTGGCACAGATGTATCAGACAATAAAGATAGACTCGTGGGTACTAACTTAAATACTGTCTTTTAATTGTTGCCTTGTGTCTTTTTTAAGGAGAAAGATAGATTATAAATTGAATAAGTAAGTAAGTAAGTAAGTAAGTAAGTAAGTAAGTAAGTAAGTAAGTAAGTAAGTAAGAAAGAAAGAAAGAAAGAAAGAAAGAAAGAAAGAAAGAAAGAAGGTCTGCAGGATACCCTCTTTATGCTTACTACCATTCACACTTATTTGATGAAAAACAAAGTCAGCTTCTGGGATTTTCCCTTATGTGGTGTTTGTCAGGATACGTTTCATTGGCAAACATGGGGACATTTCTACATACCCAGTATACCCAGTACATCCTTACTCTTGAGCCTCTGGTCATCCCCAGTTCCTGCCTCCAGGTTCTCATTCCCAAAAGTCCTATTCCTCCAGCTTGGCCCTCCCTGTTGCGTTGATGACAGCACAGCCATATCCTCCTTCCTGAACTGCACACACCTTTATACTTGCTCACAGAAAAAAAGGTCAGAGAACGAAAGAGGAGGGTCCTCTGGATACTCACAGATGTTCACAGCACATTCTCCTTCACCCAGCCTAAGAAATAATAAATGGACACTGATTTACTAGATGTAGCTGTTAATCACATTTACATACCACCTTTTATAATAGCCGACTAATGCAGGTAAACAAAATATACAAGCATAATAAAAACAACTCATTCTGATTTAAAAGCCCCGACTAAATATTTATATTTTCACCCCCATTTAAAAATGCGTTCATCCAGTATAAAATCACAGTCACTATAATCTAGAATTTACAGCTTGATCCGAAGAGGTGCTTAAAAATCTTGTCGTGACATTGAAATTTGTCCGTTCCTCCTGAGTCCCCTTGCCCATTCTCTCAGATGGAGAAAATGTTGAGGATGCTGTACAGCCTGCTCCGCACCCTCTGAACTAGCCTGTTGTTCTCGGGATAGTGAAGGATGTCTCTGCAATAAGGATCAGCTGAGAGCCTAGTTTGTTTCTCTACCTAGAAGTGGGGCCGGGGGGGGGGGGGAGATGCCTAGAAATGTTGCTGTTTGCTTCAGGCAGCAGAATATCTTGGGGCAGCCTTGGTAAGCAATTGAAGCAGGTGATCAATCAAGTCTCACCTGATCCATAAGTCATAGTCTTGCCTTTCGTAGACAGTGGCCTGAATCCTCTTACCTAGCTATGCTGGCACGGCACAGTGTAATGCTTGCAGGCAAGTTAAGACATCACCATAGACATGATTTATTTATTTATTTATTTATTTGATTTATACCCCGCCTATCTGGCCCACCGGACCATTCTAGGCAGCTAGAGTGGTCAGTTGATCAGTTGCATGCTGAGTTGTGTGGCTCAGTGTGCAACCACTAAGGTCTACAGTGGTTTCTGAACTTGGGGCAAGTTGGCTCCAAAAGCTACACCATTTCTGTAGCTATGCAAAAGATCTTGGTCAGTGCGAATTCACCCTTTTTGTGTACTAGACACTCACCTGCATTCCTCTCCTTCCAGTAGTTTTTTGTAGGTGCACATCTCAAGATCCAGTGCCAACTTGACGGCCGTGAGCTCCTGGTATTCCCGCACCTGGCAGGCCATGTCCTGCTTGGCCTTGTGCAGGGCCTCTTCCAGCTCTGCCAGTTTGCATCTGGCATCTTTCACAGCCATTTCCCCACGCTCCTCAGCTGCAGCCACCTCCTCTTCTAGCTTGCAACGCTGCGAGGCCAAAGCACAGGGGCTTTATTGACACACCTTCTAAACCAAGCACGGTCTCATGGTCTCTTTCAGGGATGGGCAAAGCAAGAGCCTACAACTTTTGTGAGGCTCCAGAACATTGGCTATGGTGACTCACAAGTGATGGGGACTGCAAGCCTACAATGTCTGGAGGGCCACAACCCGGCCATCACAATGCCTCCTTTCTTTCAAGGTGACATCTGAAGAAGCAGGAGATGGATCCTAGCGATTATGTGAGCTTGCCAAGATGATAGCAATGATGATGGTGATGAATAGTTAGTTTCTTTCACTACTTTGTAACTGCCAGTTCCCAACAGTGGCGGAGTAGTTACTACCTCTCCAATGGCATGATGGAGGAATCGGGTCTGAGAAAGCAAGTGACTTGGGTCTATGATCTGGCAAACCCACCATGCCCACATCCATACATGCATTCTCCTGCCAACGTCTTTAATCAGGAATTGCTTTCAAGCCCATCGTTGCAGCATTGAGGGTTACAAACAGGCTAGCTGTTCTTAAAAAACAGAGGTAGGATTTGTCAGAGTGCTGAACTCTGTGCTTAGTAGTGAGCAGCTGCGCTCGTGCAAGAGTAGAACGCCTAGAAGGGTGACTTCTACCACTTGTTTATTTTTAAAATCAGTGGGTTTCTTGTAACATAATAAAGAGCGATGATTCTTCTACCTGGGCTCTGGCATTTGAAAGTTCCCCCTCCAGCCTATGGACTGTGATTGTCATCTCATTAAGTTCTTCCTTGGCACACCGTAGGTTGTCGCAGTGTTTGGCAACAGTGGTCTGTAGCTCCTGGAACTGAAGCAAAAGACAAAAGATGCTGAAAATACTGAGTTGACCGTGGTCAATCTCCAGCCACAAGATTCTACCCTGCCCACAAAAAGTCCACTGTATTGAGCACTGTGGTTTGGAGGTGGTCTAATAGGCACCTTCCATTTTTGTATAATCCCTTGCAGCTACAGTGACAACATTCCTCCTCAGCTGAGGGAAATTTTGAGCAAGGGAAATGAAAAACAAACAAACAAACCCATAATTCTCCATCCTGGGAGTTCTATTTATTGCAGACTCTTTAGAAGCACCTAAATGGACATATCTAGGGAAAGGCCTAAACTGGATGGCTCTGACCATTGACCAGGCCCAGCTCTGCCAAAGGTACCTGTTCAGAAAGAAAGTTCTCAGCACCAGGGCAGGAACAGGATGTGTGTGCAAAGCTGGGCCTAGCTAAGCTTCAGAGCCTTCCAAGGGGGGCTTTTCTCTCAGGTGAAGCACATTTAGGTGTTTTTAAAGGTTTTTGTAAGGTCGACAGAACTCCCAGAATGGGAATTTTGTATTTCAGAAAATCTGAAAATCCCATCTTTTAACAGAAATAAATTAATAAACAAACAAACAAATAAAGTGCAGCGCTTGGCTATCATCTCTAACCTTATTGATTATAATAGATTAAGTGATAGTTGAATAGAGTTGAACTCTATTACCTGAGGAAGTGGCTGCTTCTTTCTTCCTGATAGTAGGGTGAGCACTGGCCTTACCTCTGATTTCCTGTGTCTTGTGTGATGTCCTGTTAAGTTTCATCCAACTTATTGTGACCCCAGTAGTGTTTTAATGGTGAAATATTTAAGGAGTAGTAATATCTGTGCCACCCCTGCCCCATGAATTTCCATGGCTGAGCAGGGATTCGAATCCAGGTCTCCTGAGTTGTGGTCCATCACTCTGTCCACTACACCACACTGTCCTGCTTCCTGTCCTGAGGTAAATCTGTCTTCAGTTCCTCATTCTGCTCTGTTTTCGTCAGTACCCACCAGTTTCTTCCTAGCTTCCTACAGATGGCATCTCCCTCTACCTGCTTTTCCAGCAAGTCTGAATGCTTTTACATTTCACTGCCTCGTAAGAAGTGAGCTACAGCCCATAAAAGCAACTAGTCTTGAAGGTACCACAAGACTTGTTCTTCCTGCATTTTGGATGAAAGAAACCATTAGGTACCTCCAGCTCTAAATCATGCCAAGTGAGTTTTACCTGACATTGACACCATGATTCAACCTCAGCCCGGCTCCTGCAAGCAATATCTTCATAACGATGCCGGAATTCCTGAAGGGCATGGTCCATATTCAGACCTCGGCTGTTGTCCATCTGCACAGTGACGCAGGTGTCTGAAATGCAGCACTGCAGCTCACAGATTTCCTGCAAGAGGCATCAAATAGGATGCATGATTACCATGGATCTTTGGTTCCTCTCGCCATATTGACTTTGGATTTGTCTTTCCAACTTCCTTGAATAAAGAAATTAATTCAAATCTACTGTACCCGATCCTCCCCAAAATATTCATTAATTCATTAATTCACTCCCTCCCTCCCTCATTTTATTTATATCCCACTTATCTCCTAATGAAAGAATTAAAAGTGCCTTATAAGTGTTGATTACAAGTACAATAAATCGGGATAATAAAAACCAATTAAACACATTACATTTTAAAACAATTTTATAAGAACAATACAAGAGCACATTTTTTTTTGTTTTTGAAGCTGAAATATGTTTACCACCTCAGTGGGGGAAGCTTGTTTTGTTGGACAGCCCTGAAGTTTCAGTTCTCACATTGAACTGCTCAGTAAATTGCCAGAGGCATACAGCAAATGTGATGTTGGAAACGTTGGGCTTGGCTACGCTATTCATTTGCAGAAGACTAGTGTGCACTAAATATGGTTGCTTATGGTCATTTAGAGATCTGGTATGCTATGTGTTGCAATCTTTGCATTCATATGGCGTAACAACTCTAATTGGTCCACCTCCTAAAACTGTTAAGGAAAGAAAAGCCTTTTTTAAATTCAGGCCAAATGGAAAAATAAAAACATCCTTTCTCTGCTCCACGGAATAGAGGGAGAAGACAAAATGTTTTTAAAAACCAATTAGGGAAGTGCTGTTGCACAGTTCCTTTTAAAGAAAATAAATAAATAAAAAAATTGAAGGCTTCCTCCCGGAAGCAGGTGGAGATAGAGGCAGGATTATTTTATTTTCTTTACAGCCAGGAAGCCAACTTGCTTTGTCCTGCCAAAAAGAGCAAAGCAAAGAAAGGAAGTTTTTAAGTTTCCAGTTATCCCACATCATTAAGTGGTAAAGCTCTCTGTGTAAACTACTAATGATATGGGCAAATTGAAGCAGGAAGTTCATTTTGGTTGAAACACAGTCATGACACATACTGGGAGAAAAACAAAACAGCATGATCTGACCTGCACTCAAAAAGTAGAAGCCCCTGACATAGACTCAGTATGGTGTGGGAAGCACTGCTCTAGGGGTGAGCTAGTTCATTCCAGCAATTACGTTGTTTGTTTGCCAGCAAAAAGAGTGAACCAACCCATTGCCACAGCAGACCAAACGGTAGTCTAAATGCCTGTGTAACCACTCTCTTTCTGTGCTAAAGGTCCACCCTTACTTCTCTGCTGTCCCATGAGAACTATTTAAGGTGTCAGAGTCTTGACCTAAAAAGCCCTTAATATCTAGGGGAAATATACCTTGGTGGTTCCCAATCTCCCCGAAGGTTGTTAGACTCACCAAATCTTCAGCCGGCTTTGCCAATGTTCTGAGAATTTTGGAATTACTTCTCTGATGGTTAAAATAGCCTCTAATCATTCACATTCTAGGCTACCTTATCTCCTGAATACTTAAAGTGGCATATCTGAGGTTGTCCCATGGTCTCCTATGGTAGACCCTGACCAGCTTCTCCTGACATAGGGCTCTCCAGATGTGCTGGGCCTCAACACTCAAGATTTCTGGTCAATAGCCCACATAATGTTTAAGCCAACAGAGGTTGCAATTCAAAATATCTGGAGAATACCTGGACGGCAGCAGGTTGAGGAAGGCTGGCCCATGAGGAAATAGAACTCTACCTGTGAGGTTGCAGTTGTCATCAGAGGTTGTTCCAAATGGCTGGAGACTCCTTCATGGGGGACATACCAAAATGGCTACCAATGGCTAGACTTTGAGCTGATTGCCCAAAGCACCAGAATCCCTTCCTTCCTGCTAAGGCTATGAGCCAAATCTATTTTAAACTTCATCTCTCAGTCTCAGGAAGAGCCAAAGACATGGAAGTCCAGGCTGAACTGTCCCAAAGCTCTCTGAGGTATCTCTGTTCCCTATAGTCTTCATGTGGTTTTAATTTCTCAGCCTTGTTTTTTGCCTTTTGTCCTACAGGTTTTGGGATATAGGATAGAAGACAGCATGGGAAAGTGCCTTACCTCCCCAAAAAGACTTTTGAAAAAGCTGAAGTCTTTCTGCAGAGTCTGCACTTTGGCTTCCTTTTCTGCCTTGTCCATGAAAACACAATCCACCTCCTACAGAAATTTAAATAAGAAAATATAAGCACATTTCATAAAGAAATGATAACACTTCACCATTCCCACCCACTGAGATTCAGGGGTAGGTAGGACGAGGACTGGAACTCATACACATGCCAGAAACAAAGGCCATTTCTCTGAAGCTTCGCCATCACTTGCCTTTTTAAGGGCCACATACTCATTTTCAGCACTTGTTCGCCGGTGACATTCCTCTTCAAACCTGGAGAGGTAAGTGAAATAGTTTTATCTCACATCTGAATGGATTTATACTACTTGAGCTGCTGTTTACCAAAAAGTCAGTAAGCTGGAAATGGACTGGGGATTCGTCTAAGGTTTTTCTACATGTTAGAACCACCCAAATATACAATTCACCATGGAAAATGAAATAGAGGGACAACTCCCTTTCTTAGATGTTATGGTCATATGCAAACCTGACCTCCTATTGGGAAACAAGGTCTACAGAAAACCCACCCACACAGACTGGTACCTACACAAAAACCCCAACCACCAACCACAGCAAAAAAGAGGCATAATCAAACACTGGAAGATCGTGTTAATTGGAATTGAAGAAGATAAACAGCCACCCATAAATAAAGTATTTCTGCCATACATCAAAGGGGTCACGGACCACAAGGGGATACTTTTGAAAAAACACAACCTACAAACAGTCTTCAGGCCCACCATAAAAGTACAAATAATGTTACTGTCAGCAAAGGACAAAAGGGACCCCCTCACCACTGCAGGAGTATACCAGATACCTTGCAGTTATGACCAGGTATAGTATTGGGACCACAAAATGCAGCATCCACACCAGAATCAAAGAACATGAAAGACTAAAACAACCAGAAAAATTGGCGGTAGTTGAACATGCCCTGAAACAAGCTGGACATAAAATTCTATTTCAAAAGACAGAAGTACTGGACAACACCAATAATGATTATGTTAGAATACACAGGGAAGTCACTGAAATCCACAAACATCAGCACAGCTTCAACAAAAAAGAAGAAAGAAGAAAGAACAAAGCCTGGCTCCCGGCACACAAAAATACAGCCTGCAGAAGGTCAACAAACTCCACCCAGCCACAAGGACCGGTGATCATTGCACACAAAGGACTAGCTAATGACACCCATCAGTCACAATGACAGACCACCCCCCCTTATCACAACAATACACCCATAACAAAAAACACCCTGATCACTATAATCACTCAATCTCCTCAAAAGGACAAAAGGTGATCCCACAACTACAAATACTCAACTATCCCACACCAGAACACAGACAGACTTCTAACTCTTGTCCTCTGAAGATGCCAGCCACAGATACTGGTGAAACATTAGGAAGAAAAACCTTTGGAACACGGCCAAACAGCCCAAAAAAACTACGACAACCATTCTACAGATTACTTCTTCTGAAATCAGATGCTGCGTCCCAACAGATGCTGCAGTGTCATCAAAACAGGGCTACTGAGGTATCAGTGGACAGAAAACCTACATGTCGTTCCTTTCCACAGGACAAACCTATGTCCTATGTCCATAGGAAAGACTGCTCAGACCAAGTCTAGACCAAAGGCCACAGGAGGAGAAAGCAAAGGCCTTGAAGTTCCCTGTCAACAGTTAACACCTGAATAGCAAAAAGAGTAGGTTGGTCCACAAAGAACACTTGTTCAGGGCTTTCCTTCATGTGATGAGATATGTTGTATCTACTAGCTGGCTGTATAGCTCAGAGAGTTAGCTATCTTTGGAAGTTCAGTTCTCCACTGTGCCTTCAGGGAGAAGAGCCAGCCTGCATGGCCTTGGGCAAGCTGCTCAGTCCCAAGAATCCCCCAGAAGAAGGGTAAACCCCTTCCGAGGACTCTCTACCTAGAAAACCCTGGAAAGGGCTCCAATAAGTTGGACCCACATAATTATAAATTAGTATATACATATTTCATACAAAGTTATGGTGAGGTGTACATATTTGGGAGTATAGGTGGAACAGAGAGAAATGATTATAGGGTTAATATTGTTATTTGCTGTTTTGTTACTTTGTTGTTTTATGTTACTTGTTGTAAACCGCCCAGAGTGGCCTTGGTTGCCAGATGCGTAGCAAGTAAGTAAGTAAGTAAGTAAGTAAAATGGGGATGAACTCACTTAAAGGGAGCAGAAATGGTTTAAGAGGGAAAAGCGGAACCAGAATGTACCCCGATTCTTATGGGCTAAGAATTATGGAATTGAGAATATACTGGATTAATCATCAGACTCTGCCTTTCTTTCTTTCTTTCTTTCTTTCTTTCTTTCTTTCTTTCTTTCTTTCTTTCTTTCTTTCTTTCTTTCTTTCTTTCTTTCTTTCTTTCTTTCTTTCTTTCTGCATCCAAACCCCCTTGCATGACTCTGTATCTTTTCTTTTCTTTTTTCTTTTTTGGAGGTACTTAAAATGGCACCCTGACGTGCGGACCCCCCAAAAAATGCTCTTTACCAATGGGCCTATGGCTCCCTGTCCAAAGCAACACCATCTTGATTTCCTTGACCAACTTGACCCTCTCTCAGCCCAATTCAACATTCATCAGCATTTCAACCTCCCACAATTCTGCCCTGTTTTGAAAAGATGGTTTTAAAAGGCTGTATTTCATAGAAGGGTTATATTCTTCAGTAGGATCGCACGTGCTAGATGGAATAACAGTGAGGAATGGAAGGCCTGGCCAGTGTAGGTTGATGCATGTCAAGCATTTCTTACACAGGTAGTTTCAGAGGATTCCCTCTCCCATTGTTTTAGTCTAAAGAAAAGAGCAACAACGCAAATTTATGAAGCCACCGATGGGCCACCATATACAAACATTATCTGTGTGATTAGTGGCCTCAACCTTGACTCCTCAGATACTCCTGGACTGCAGTTCCCAAAATCCTTCACCAGTAGCTGTGCTGGTCAGGATTTCTGGGAGTTGCAGTCCAAGAACATCTGAGGAACCACTGGTTTAGAGCAGTGGTTCTTAACCTTTGTTACTCAGGTGTGTTTGAACTGCAACTCCCAGAAACCCCAGCCAGCACAGGTGGTGGTGAAGGCTTCTGGGGGTTGCAGTCCAAAAACATCTGAGTAACAAAGGTTAAGAACCAGTGGTTTAAAGGATCATAACTTACTCCTCATGCACAGATTGGAGCAGTAACTTGCCATCTCATTTTCTGACTATAGGGAAAACGTTGTTGGCTCACACTTACTTTTTCTTGTTGCCCTCCAGAACGTCCGTCCAGTTGTTCATTTCTGCCTGCAGTTGTGCCTTCTCATATTCCAGGCACTCCAGCTCTTTCTTCAGGTTGCAGATGTACTCGTTCAGCATGGGCTCCATGTTACTTTTGCAGCACTTCCTCTCTTGCAGGAACTCCAGCTTGGTCTTCATCATCATGTTCCGCTGCTCCATGTATCGGACCTGTGTCCCAAAGCAAATAACACCCACCCACCCCCCGGGTGATTAATATGGGGACTGAGTGAGTTCATGCTGGGACTGATTCTGAAATTAGAAGGTGCCAGTATCAATTCCAAATCCAGATGCTGGCCCACATCCTGTTGGTTTCAAAGGGACTTGCAAAGAAAGGAAGCCTTGCAGTCATCAAACACACGAGGAGAGATGACCACTCCATTACTTCAAAAATAAATAAATAAAAATAAATCTAGTGCATTTTGTTTGGGATTTTATAATCGAAGCCATAATAATGAGATGCTCAGTATGACATTTCACATCCACATCTGAATGTTTTGGATTTGACTTAACAGTTTTAAAAATTTGAACCAAGTATACATTCATTCTGCACGGTGAATAAAGTGATAGACTAAGACTCAGAGGAGATTTAGGTACACATCCTACTTGGGCTGTGGAAGCTTACTGGACAGTAAGGTAAAGGTAAAGGTAAAGGTTCCCCTTGACAATTTTTGTCCAGTCGTGTTCGACTCTAGGGGGCGGTGCTCATCCCCGTTTCCAAACCATAGAGCCAGCGTTTTGTCCGAAGACAATCTTCCGTGGTCACATGGCCAGTGCGACTTAGACACGGAACGCTGTTACCTTCCCACCAAGGTGGTCCCTATTAATCTACTCGCATTTGCATGCTTTTGAACCGCTAGGTTGGCGGGAGCTGGGATTCGATCTTACGACTGCTTGGTCTTCTGACCCTGCAGCACAGGCTTCTGCGGTTTAGCCCACAGCGCCACCACGTCCCTCTACTGGACAGTGGCAATAGGAAATTCCGTCCTTATGTGCCTCATGTACTTTGAAAGTCCTATTTAGGGGCATCATAAGTTGGAAGTAGCTTGACGCAAGTAAGAGCAAATAAATCACTTTACGAACAAGAAGGGCATCTCAGCAAGGGAGCCCCAGGGACCGCTGCTCTCCCTCCCTAGAGCTCCTGAAGGAGGAGCAGGCAGCCTTTCGTTTGGAAAACTTGAGCTCTGAATGGTCTACGAGGAGCAAAAGGCTGGTCTGCGGCAATGTAGAAGGTCTCCCAGGAGTCTATGGCCAGAGCAAAGCCTGCTTTAAAAGCAGTGACTGCCTTGTGTCTCCAAAGTAATGTAATGAGTAGGTTCCACATTATTGACATGATGAGTAATGTTTCTTTCTGTTTACTTTCAATAATTAGCTTTAAGAGGAAATCTGAAGACATTTGAATGACATTTTGTCAGGAATTTTTAAGTCTGTCTTCCTTCCTCCAGTAATTTCATAAATGCAAAATGTAACCCAAAAAAGTAACCAGTAGTGTAACAAATAATGGAAATAGTTCCTTTTTGTAAACACTGTAATAACAGGAATAAATAACTTTGGAAAGGTAGCTTTCTGTTCTCTTGGTTTTGGATAAAATAAGCCTTGCACTACAGCAAATTACCTTCAACAGAGCAACTCATTCTTAACACCAAAGTATAACTGGGCATTAATAAAGAACTGTGTGTTGACAGAGACCTACAAGGCTCCTTCCAGCCCTTATACAGTTTAAACTTCAAGTATTGGTCCTTATCCAAATTCACTGTACCCTTCATTGTGACTCTTTTAATACAAACTTCTTTAAGGTCTAATGATATAATTCTTCAGTCTTTCCCCTCACCCCCACCAAGAAGCTGAGGAAATGCCATAGAAAATAGTCTATATAGCCAAGAATCAATTATCCAGGTCTCCACATTAATCAAATTAATGGTGCATCTCATAGGATGGGAGCGAATGAACAGACGTAGATAGATCCTCTCGACTTTAACATTATTGTAATAGTGCAGAGAGTAAAGAATCCATACTTTTTGACAAAAACAATTATGGATATTCTGAGCAGAACTAGAAACTTGATTAGTAAGCAAAGAGAGATGTTGGTGGCAGAGTCAGGGAAGCAGAAGGTCAACATCCCAATCCCAGCTTCTAAACTGATCCATGTGCAAGTCCTACTGAGGCACTGAACACTGAACATGTGGGGAGTGAAAGGAAGAGAGGATGGGCTCTCTTCCCTGTCATGTAGCAGAGGCCAGCCTGGACTGTGTTCATGTTCTAATAGACAGCTTTCCAAATTCAGTCAAAGAACTAAGGGGCACCATCCGGTCTTAGGTGGAGAGCATTCCTCCTCAGCTCCACTTGACTCACCTTGTCAATGAAACCGGCAAATTTGCTGTTGAGGCACTGGAGGTCATTCTTCTCTTGGCATTTGGCCGCTTGGGCAGTGGGGTCGATCTCCAGACAGAGGGGCTGGAGCAGGGCTTCGTTGCATATCACGGGAGTGATGTTCGGACAGCAAGGCCCAGAGCGCTGGAAGCCGCAGCGATATCCACTGTCGCAGTAGTCATAACCTGGGCCGAGGCTCTGGTAGCTGTAGGGACACCGTGGAGGCAGGCAGTTGCCATGCGCCATTCTGGGACCACATGAGTTGCTACACCCCAGGCTCCTGGTACTGAAACAACCTTCATAGCCTACCCCAGCAACTCTCGGAGAGCACGGGGGTTTAGCGTTCCCTAGCGGGTGAAGGACAGCCGAACAAGAACTAAAATTTCTGGGGCCACAGGTACGGACGGAGTGGCAAGACATGGTTTGAAAAAGGAAAGCCTGAAGCTGCAGAAGGGTGAAAAATGCAAAGCTGCAGTGTAAAAGAGGCAAAGGCGTTGTGCTTTCCTGTGGAGAAACTTGTCCTTTATATCTGTTTGGGGAAGCTGGGTTTGGCCACTAGATAAATCAGGGACCAAACAACTTTCCAAAGTTTATGAGCTTGGGGATGTTTATGGGACCAAATCCTCTGCTGCTGAGTGTTCAGTGGATGCTTGCTTGGACCATTAAAAAGCTTCAGGGATTTCACAAAGCCATTGTTTACTGCACTGGCAACACAGTATTAAAAAGAGTTTATTCCGCCTTCTCTTTTTGATACCCAAGAGTTGCAATTAAGACATGACTATATCAAGAAGTCAAGATCAGTTTGAGTTTCCCCCACTCCCCCACTTTTTTTTATGGCTATACCAGAAGTTGGATGCAAGACTTTCCTGTGCCTCAGTTTATAGACCTCTTTGTGAGGCTAATGATACACCTCTTCTTTGCTTCGGAAATAATGTCTCAATCATCACATATGCTGTTCTCAGATGAAAGGCTGCCTTGATTTATCACAGCTTTTGCTGCGTGAAATAGCAGGATCTCTTGCATAATCTGTAATGTGCCAAGGGTGCAGCTTCTTGTGAAGCCCAAGGAAATGGAGACCAATTGTAGACAATTCCATGTCTACACACTGGGTGGTTTGCTGCCATTTCACATCCTTGTTTGAAATGGTGGCAAATCACCCAATATGCTGCATACCTCCAATGATGAGGTCATTTCCAGCGGAGACCACCTGCTACCATCACCACTTCCAGGAACAGGGTAGAGGAACTGTTTCATCCCAATCACCACCCATCAACGGCTGCAACCCCTTTCTGCCATATATACGGTTGCTACAGGAAGAAATGATCTGTATGCACATACTGTTCATTTTCATATCATTGCCAGACATGTGGAGCACAGGGGGTGTGGCTGGCTGATGTTAGGTTGGCCACTTAAACACACATATGCCAAGAGACAACAAAGGAAGATCTCTATACAATCTCCAGTACACTGGAACTCCTGATTTATTGGTATCAAAGCACAATCAGAAATAATTTTGAAACCATCTAAGCCGCATCACACTACATCTAGTTAATGTGAACAAAACAATGACAAGTAGGTGATTCGGATATCTCTGAATCACCTGACTGGGTTCCACTAACTAGGAATGGGAGAATCCCACTGACGCGTTCTCCATAAAAACCATTTTGGACAGTATTGACGAACGAACTCAGTGCCATGAGGAGTGAGTCTCTACGAAATATGGTGTTTATTTCATTTATTTTTTTCTTTTTTAAGTCTTCCTTTCTATGCTACAGTTACAAAATAGTATAATAAAATAATGTACAACTGAATTCTAAAACTGTTGGCAAGAAATCCAGAGCAGCAACTAGCATATTGCTTTAAAACCTCCCCATAGTGCTTTAATCACTCTCTGGGTGGTTTACAGTCTAATTATACTACATATCACACCATGGCAAGCTGGGTACTCAATTTACTGAGCTCAGAAAAATGGAAGCGTGAGTGAACCTCAAGCTGGCTACCAGGGATTGAACCCAGGTGGGGAGCAGAGTCTTGGTTACAGTACTGCAATATAACCAGTGTGCTACAAGGCTTCTTAGTGCAGATGGACACAAACTGCCAGTTTCTTGGTTCATGCCAGTTCATTTACCACCACAATAGGTTTCCGTGGTTCGGCACCCTGCCACCTCCAGCGGGCGCCCACTCAAAAGTAGTGTGCCAGCTTCCCTGCCCCACCTCCTCTGGGCGTTGCTTTTGAGTGGATGTCCACTGGAGCGGAGGCACCAAACTGCTGAACACCTGTTGTAGTGGTCAATGAACCAGCACGAACTGCCAAATCAGTAGTTTGTGCCCATCTCTACTCCTTAGCACAACAGGAAGCACAATAGAAGCACACAGCAAGAACACCAGCAGGCAAACACACATCAAACCAGCATATTCATGAAAGCATGCTCATTGTTTGAAAAACAAAACAAAACAACAAACAGTATCAAGCACCCACTAAAAATGGGCAAAGAAAAGACAGACAAGCCACGCTTGGGCCATGAACTTGTCCATTATCTCCTGTAATCTGGATTTTCTCTTTTTAAATTGCTAGTGCTGGTTCCTTGTGTAATTTTTTTTTCATTTCCAATTAAATTGTGCTGCTATCATCCTGTTTTGGAATCTGGGGCGTATGTGTGTCTGTGTATACTTGAAGAGCAAGCAAGACAAACACAGTAGAGCTAGCAATGTGGTTCTTTCCTTCTTCTAATCATTGGTGCACGGAATATATCAAATGCCACTTTAAGGAGGTTAGAGTAGTCTGCACACCTCATATAAGGAGGAAAATAGGACCTGAAAGTAAAATATTACCACTAAATTTTTACCTATAGTACACTGGAAGTGATTTCAGATTTTGCTACTAACATTAGGGTGTCCACTTAAACACACACACACACTGACAATAAAACCCAGGTTCTGCTGAAAAAAAACAACCCACAATGCAAATTTAAGCATACATCTGAAGCATGTGCGCATGTGGGCTACTGTGCCATGGGAGTGAAGTTTTCTGCTCCACTGCCGGAAGTTTGTTTATTTTGGGGCGGATGTGGAATTGATTCTTGCCACTTTTTTTAAAAAAAAAATCTGGCAATCTGATACAGCACTATGCCAGAGGGCAGGGATTTTAAAAAAATAAAATAAAACCACCATGCTTGCTGGTGCTTGCCCAATTGATTGCCTTCCTTGCTTGGTCAGCTCCCACTATCACTGTTTGGCCCCTCTTTCCTTCTCATCCTCTTTCCCCTCTGTTCACCCCTTCCCACCTGATTTCTTTCCCACCATCACTCGCTCACTCGGCCCACCTGTTTGACTGCCACCTGTTGCTCAACCCCCCTCTCGCCCATTTGTCCACTCCTCACTCCAGTCCACGTCCATTCCCCCCTCTCGCCCCTTGGCTCTTCTGTCCCTTTCCATCCCTTTTTCTCTCTTCCTCCTCCCCAGCCGTTCCGCCTGCCCCAATCCCAGGTGACCAGAGCTACTTGATCTGATACGGTGGCGGCGGTGGTGGTGGTGGTGGAGGTGGCATCATGGCACCGGGGACTCTGAGGCAGTGTAGGAGCAGCGGCAGTGGAAGAGAGCCCGAGATGGTGGTGGTGGTGAGGATACAAATGTTTTAGACCCCCCCAAAAACCCAATCCTTTTGCTGCTTTATTCTTGTAGTGGAAATGGGCTCTGAGATGATCTACTTGTTGAGTCTGAAAAGAAAAAAAAAAGGAGATATCATCAAAACCATAAGGGCCTTGTTGCGTGGTTGTGTGTGTGTGTGTGTTTTAATTTGTTATTTAAACTAAAGTTTATTATTGAATCTTTTTTTATTTTCTGTTCATGTTCTTGTAAGCCACCTAAAATAGTGTGGGGTAAAAATTTAGTAAGTAAGTAAGTAAGTAAGTAAGTAAGTAAGTAAGTAAGTAAGTAAGTAAGTAAGTTAAGTAAGTAAGTAAGTAAGTAAGTAAGCAAGTAAAGACCTTCCCACATCTTAAATGTAACAGCAGGTAACCCAGAAGTCTTTGTGTGTGTGTGTGTCTATTAATTCATATTATTTGGACCAACACCCTTCAGTTCCCTTTCATCTTCTCCAGCAGGCAGAAGATGATGGCAAAACCACTGTTCTGTGAAAGTTTTCTATCCTGCACTAGCTAATTACTAAGCCAGTCATCGTTGCCTAGATGTGACCATGTTGCAAACTACAATTATGGTTGCTCAGTTTCAAGGCATTAACCTCTCTCCTTGAAGTGACATGGCCATAAAAAATCTACCTCGCCTGTAATTAAGTTTTGGGGCAGTCTATAATAGTGTCATGTCCTGGGCTTGGCTTCTGAGAGAAAATATCAGAAGCATGGAGAAAACATAAAGTGACGTTTGATGGGGAGATACCTAGACGAGTGGGTTCTAGATCAAGTCAAGCCTGAACTACTTCTGAAGGCAAAGGTGTTGAAACGCAGGCTGTCCTACTTTGAGGACAGGGTTCTCGAGGAAAAGACAATAATGATGGAAAAGAGGGAAGGCAACAGGAAAAGAGGAAAACCAAATACAAGGTGGGCTAATTCCCTAAAGGAACCACAGGCTTGACTCTACAATTGCTGAGCAGGGCAGTTGAGGACAGGGCATTTTGGAGGTCTGGTCATTCACAGGCTCACCATAAGTTGGAGGCGACTTGATAGCACATGACAACAACATACTCAGCCCAGTCCATGTCTGAGGTAAAAGACAAGGTGCCCTTCATTCTCCCCCATTTCTTCACACCAATTTCACACAGAGAGTAAGACAGACTGAAAAATAAATCTTAGTTCAGCATCAATGACAATGGAATATGTATTCCCACCTACTTGAGGGCAGGAGGCTAGAGATGGTAGTGTGATGCACAAATGTCTTGTGGCCAGCACAACTCTCTTCCCCCATAGAAAGATGCCTGCCAGCTGAACAAGTGGGCTCACCTGGCTGAGAAGCATCTCTTATCTGAGGTCATGGAAAGAGATAGGGAAGGTCCATCCATGGTGCTTAATAGGCGGCAGCCCCTTCAATTTGCCAGCAACAAATAATCAAAGATGGGAAGCAGCTTTTGAAACTATCCTCAGACTTGAAGCTGCAGAATGGGGGGAAGCTCAAATACATCACAAACTCCTTTGCTTAGCAAGATCATTTTATTGGAAACAGAGGAACACACTAAAGCCTGTTTTTCGAAAACCAAGCAAGCAATGGAGTGAAAAGCCTGAACTAGATGAAAATAACCTCATTTTTCCCCGTGAAGAGAGCAACATACACAACAAGGCCGCTGTCAGTGAGTTGTCTTGCCTCGCCCTAGGACCTGCCGAGTTTCAAAATTCCAGCTCCCCAGTCAACCTGGGAGCAACAATGTTCGATTATGAATACCCTTCGTACTCCCATGTACATGGGAGGTG